TCACTGAAGGAAGGGAGGGAAGAGAAGGGAGAGAGGGAGGGAGGTAGGGAGGATGGACATCTAGACGTCTAGACACATCACCTGAGCAGCAGTTGGGAGAAAGCAGAGCCGCTCGTGCTGGAGAGAAGCATGCTTGTCAAGGTTCATGCGGGACAGGTTGAGGGGGGAAGGAAAGAGCTTTCCAAGGATGAACCAAATAGGGTGGACTGATTTCAGGGGCAGTAGGCTCCCTGTCTCCAGAAAGGTCCAGCTAAGCCCCACCCCTCATAGGCTGCACAGGAGGGACCTCCTGTTGAAAGTTTCCAAGTCTTTATTCAAGGGGTCATTTTCCTATTTGGGCCATATTTGCCTACTACTGAACTATTACTGGCTTAATCTTTGCCTTCAAAATCACCACACTTTTTCACTTAAAATCTTTATTTAGTCTTAATCTGAGCAAAATATTCATAAGAAAAACCCAGGTTTGACACAATGCCCGTAGTTTTATAATACATATAAATAAGTATATAACAATTAAAATGTGTGCCACCTAAAACTATCTCCCTCACCACCCTGAGAAAGGCACTCTCCTGTGTCTGAATTGAGACCCAGGAGACCTTGGACCCCAGGAGATCTTGGACCCCAGGCCAAGAGGGCCAGGGGTGGGGTCTCAGAATGTTCCAGGGGCCCCTTCCGGGTCTCTGGTTCTGTTATCTGAAGGTAGCTTGAATGACGATAATGCTTTTAAATCTCACAGCCCTTTTTGGTCTCCCAAGCTTGTTCTTATCTGTGTATTTCATCTGACCCCATGACAACACTGAGGGTGGGGCAGGGAAGTCACACAGGGAGCCTGGGCCCCTGCAGCACCCGACGCACCCAAGGCCCTATTTATGGTCACAGAGGACCCGAACAGAGCACAGAACCCTCCGTCCCCTCTCCCTCCGCTATCGCCATATGCTGCACAGCCAAATCCCTTCCTGGTACACTTCAAAATCTCACTAGCAGCACAACCCAGATCCAAATCACATTTTATCCATCTAGGTGGCCAGAGGCCAGGCTCTGTAGAAAATATGTCCCTCTGAGGCCCAGAATGTCACCTCACAACCAGCGGTGACAATATACTGCCATCTGGCCATCAGCAGACCCCACTTAGTAAAGCCATCAAGAATACTAGAGGACAATGATGGGGACGTTAAAAAGCTAAATACCCCTTGCTACTTCACGACCCCTACATGGGGTGGGCTGTAGAAAGCTGCCTTGGATCATGCTAACCAGCTAACAGGCAGGAGGACTAAAGCGGTGGGTGCCAGGCCAAGAGGGCCAGGGGTGGAGTCTCAGAACAGGCGGGACCAGCCTCATTCCAAGCAGTAGGAATGCTACATAGAAGACTGGAGATGGGCACCAAGGATACATGGCAGGTACCAACGAGTGCAGTGTGGCTGTCATCTCAGCCTCAACAGCATCCTCTGCCCTCTGAAGCAGGAGGTGGCAGCACTGCCCTCTTGGTCAGAGGTCTACAAGACAGATTTCAAACTCATAGGCTGAGAACCGACACCCTTTCCACTCTCACTCTCACTCCTGTGGCTCTACCACAACAGCACACTGGCCTGGCTGCAAAGACAGAACCCCAGAGTAGGCCCTCAGTAAACGTTAGTAGAGCCAGGGATCTACCCTGGGATCCAGGGCTCATTTTCAGAGATCCACGAATCTCCCAAATTGCTTACCCAACTTTATACATCCAAGTAACTTTTCTCTGGGTCTCTCACTAGCATATTAAAGAGGCGGTAGCCCAAGGAGGTAAAAACCATTGCTCTAAACACAGCCTTCTTGGCTGCCTGTCCTAAGCAGGAGTATGTTGGAGGTGGCACTCATATTCCATCCCTGTGTACACAGACTTCACAAGAGCTGAGAGCATCTTTGGGAGATCAAAGCCCTGCTTAATCCACTGTTGCCTGGGTTTTATTATCTGCAGCCCAAAGCATCCCCACTGATCCAGTACCACAGAGCCCAGTGGCATCACCCAAGACTGTGACAGGTGGCAAGGCCTCAGAGTCCATCCATAAAGTTCCTCTCAAAGCTTGACTTCTCTGCTGAGTCTCTAGACCATGCATGGCTGCTGGATGCCCAGGGCACAGGGAACTCACCCACCTCCTTCCTTTCTCCCATGCCCAGTCAAAGGTAACTGTACCTTCAAGCCTGCCAGATGCCTGCCCCAGGCCTGGCAGGTACAGAGCCTCTGGAATGCACCACACTCTTTGAACACTTGAGAATGTGTTCCCAATTAGTTCACACAAACACGGTTTGTGCAGACTACATGATGCTCATGAGCAGGTATGTTTTCAATTGCTTGCAAGGAGGCCCCCTCCCTTGGGAGGCATTTCATTAGTAGACAATGATGACACCAGATGTGAAATAGAAAATGGATGTCACATTTCCCCCAGAAGTCACTTAATCCAGCAGGCTGGCCAACATGCAATTCAGACAGATGTTAGGACCAGGAGCTAGTTCAGTCCATCAGAGCCCTGCAGTCCTCCCTGGTTCCAGGTGGTCACTCAAGCTCAAGAACCAACCCCAGGGATAACAGACTTGTCACCTTATAAGCAGCTCAGATCAACTGAAAGTGTGAAATACCTGTGGTGAGAGGTTATAAAAGTTACACCTGTCACAAAGATGTCTTAGGTAGGTGAAAACATAAGTCGTGGCAAGGACAAACAGAGCTGGCAGCCCTGGAAAACTGTCACTTGCCTCGCAAGGGTTCAGCAGAGGGCCTTGACACCACCCCAATAAGGAAATGTTGAGGTCACCAGAAGAGGGGGCAGTTTCTATCAGAGTACCTGGCTTACTCAACCCCTACCCCCACCAAAGAGGGTGGCAGACCCTGCAGCCTTGGAAACCCCACAGCATCAAAGCCCCATGCCTCCTAACCTGGCAGAGAAGGGACAAACTACACCATAAACCACAGACAGGAAAGCTAACTGGCTACGGGGAGAGAAAGCAGGCTGAGGGTGAAAACCATGGCTTGAAACATTTTCAGCCCCAGTCAGCAGGGACATGCGATTTATAGGAAACTAGGAGACTTACAAAAATGTTAGCCAGCTCAAGTTTCTTCCCTGGGAAGAGAAGCAGAAGAAACTCCTAAGAACTGTCTGGGTGAAAGTGTTTTGTTCACTGCAAAGCCCCTGACACGTGTCAGTTAATTAGTACCAGCAGCTCCCCACCCCACACTTCAACCAACCAGTGAAAGGCAACAGAGCCAAAGCCCAACACAGGCTGCACCTGGAGCCTTCAAGCCCAGGACAGCCCCTCCCTCATGAGAGGGACCTGACCAGCCACAGGGTCTACAGCATGGACTCTCATGATCTTGGGCAACTTATGGACTCTTTCTTGCCCCTGTTCCCCATCTGCACGTGGGGGTAATAATAAATCCCTTCTGGAGGCATCTCCTCCAACGATGACACCCACGGCAAGTGCCTGATCTGTTAACCCCTGCTGGCTGCTCTTATTACAGTGGGGCTACAGGGCTTTCAAGTCAGATTTCCTTGTCAGTCCTGGTGCCAGGGAAGTCACTCTTGAGATCACCATTCGGAGCCTTGTCAGTCCGCTTCTCTGGTCAGGTCCAGGACAGAGGGTGAGTTCTAGAGGGGCAAGAACCATTCTGTTCCAAGGAAGCTGGTGAGGAGGAGGGACCCGTGGGGGAGGAGGGGCAATCCCAGAGTTCAGGGATCAGGGCCCGGATGAGGTGGCCCTTGTCCACCTCTTCGGACTCGGCTCTGGCCCTGGCCAACACAGACCTCCGTTTCAGCCACAGAGTCTAATTGCGTGTTCAGTGCCCATGCTCCTGCCAGGCATCACCTCCTCTAGGAGGCCTTCCCTGACCTTCCACGCTGCCTGCTCCAACAATGCGCTTCCCTGATCTCAGTACTGGGACCACGCTGGGCTGTCGCTTACTTTGCACCCCTACCTTCCGAGGCGCAGGAACTGGCACTGTGCCCCACACACGGTGGGCGTCCCTGCCGGGTCCGGTCAATGAATGAACCGGGCCCCAGTTGTGACCAGAGCCCCGAGCCCTTGGCGCAGTGAAGGGTTGTTTATCAAGAAAGCACCTTTTGGTCATTAAGATGAATTTGACAACTCTGATGGAGGATCCCCGCCCTCGTTAACGCCATTTTAAAAGGAGAACGAACCCCCCCACCCCACGTCCACCAGAATCCCGCCTCCCACCTCCCCTCGGGTTCTCGCCAGGGCAGACAAGGAACGCAAGGGCGGTTACCATGAAAGGGGCTCTTTGGGCGGTAGGCAGGTCCTTCCGACCGGGGTCTCGCTCCTGGCCGATTTCTCGATCGCACACCGTTAACGCGGTCGGGGCCAAAGGCCGCTTACCGCCAACCCCGGAGCTCAGTCCACCCGCGGCGAGCGCGGCCGGGCCCGGGACGGCCACACCTCCCGCCCGGAACAAAGCGCCCGGCTGGGCCCCCTCCCCTCCCAGGCTGCCCCGACCGCTCACCGCGCGCTCCAGCCCGGCTCGGCTCCGGCCTCAGGCCGTCTCCTCCATGCCCGCGCTGGCCAGAAGGCAGCTCCGCGCCCGCCGGGCCCCGCGGCAGCCGGACTGACGGCTCTCCGCCCGCGGCCCGCCGGCCGCTCTGGCCGTCCCCGCCCCGGCGCCTCCTTAAAG